TATATCTTCTCGGTCTCCGCAGGCACATCAAACAACCTGTCAGTTTACACTTCAACTTTTGTGGGGGGGGGGGTTGTTCTACATTCCATGGACGTAAAGGTATTTATTGTGTTTATTGTGCAACAAGCAACTTAAATTATTGCTTAGTTTTTTACTCAGTAGCTTCTTTCGTTGGGCCTAATGGCTCATGATTGTTGGGAATTAAACTGACTTCATGCACAAACTGAAATTTAAAGTAGTAATAAGCCGAAGTTTGAGGTCTTTATTTCTTGAGTACAAGTCTGTGTTGACAAGCTGACCAATCTGATTTAATCCCCTTCTTACAGAAACATGTGAACTACGCTCACCGCCAAGGCAAACAAGAAAACAATGACTTTGGTTTTGTTTATTGGTAGGCCTAAATGCTTTCACTGTCGGTTTTAATATCATGATATACCGGTTTGTTCACCTTTGACCTGAGCTAATTGGTGCAAATTAAGAAAGATACAATGAGTCCCGGTAACAAACAAGGAAGCAGTTGGCGCTGAATATCAATTTTGTTCACAGTTAACACTTTTCAGGGTTCAGCCCTGCACGTGTTTCTCTCCAAGAGACAATAGAACCAGAAATACCGAAGAATGCGTTAGCCGTTCCCAGTCATGAATTTCATGTGCAAGGAGAGATCACACAGTTCGTTCTATGCGACGTCTGTATTTGCTTTAGTTGTCGTCTTATGCGAATTCGGGCTTGCAGAGAGGGGTAAGTGCATTTATACTTTGTGCATGCTTGACGAAAAATGGGGATGACGTTCAATCTATGTTGGTCCGGAAGATTCTGGAAGATTCGGACCCGTTTTACAAAGGACTGGGAAGGTTTAGATTAGATACCACCAACTGGAATAATTAAGGTTGAACGCTGTACCTAGATTTTCGCACATAAAGACCTGATATGACTTTCACCATAAGCAGAAATCCCAGGGAATGGAGGTACTATACTTTTTGACGGGAGTGACCAACACAGTCATCCACCACTTTTCAAATAACTGACGATNTTTTTTTGTTCCACATTCCATGGACATAAAGGTAGAATGATAAGTGTTTATTGTGCAACAAGCAACTTAATTTATTTTTTAGTTCTTTACTCAGTTGTTTCTTTCATTAGGCCTAAATGGCTCATGATTGTTGGCAATTAAACTGACTTTATGCACAAACTTAAAGTAGTAATAATCCGAAGTTTGAGGTCGTTATTTCTTCAGTACAAATCTGTGGTGACCAGCTGACCAATCAGACTTAACACCTGTATATAAGCCGTTGCCTGGAGGCTTGCTCGCATTACTCTGTCTTGCCAGTTTAGGACACAGTCGCTAGTTCTTGCCAAAAGAACATGTTCTCAATTTCCTCCTTCTTACAGAAACATGTGAACTATCCTCACCGCCAAGGCCAACAAGGAAACAAAGCCTTTGGTTTTGTTTATTGGTAGGCCTAAATGCTTTCACTCTCGGTTTTAAAATCATGATATAGCGGCTCGTTCATCTGTGACCTGAGCCAGTTGGTGCAAATCAAGAAAGATACAATGAGTCCCGGTAACGAACAAGGAAGCAATTGGCGCTGAATATCAATTTTGTCCACAGTTAACACTTTTCAGGGAGCAGCCTCGCACGTGCTTCTCTCCAAGAAACGATAGGACCAGAAGCACCGAAGAATGCAGTATTAAACCGTTGCCAGTCATGAATTTCATGTGCAAGGAGAGATCACACAGTTCGTTCTATGCGCCGTCTGTATTTGCTTTAGTTGTCGTGTTATGCGAATTTGGGGTTGCAGCAAAGGGTAAGTGCATTAATAACATCTGCATGCTTGAAGAAAAATAGGATTGGTGTTCAATCCATGTTGATCCGACAGATTCGAAACCGTGTTACGAAGGGCCGGGAAGGTTTAGAATAGTAATACCACCAAATGGAATAAATGGAGTCTGTTGAACGCTGCACCTATAGCTTTTCGTACTTAAAGACCTGATATGACTTTCACCATGAGCGGAAATCCCGGGGAGTTGAGGTGCTAAAACCACCCCTTTCACTTCTTGACGGGAGTGACCAACACAGTCATACCGCACTTTTCAATCACTGACGATGCGCACCCTTCGCATGCACCTTTGAATGCACACTTTCCAGCGTCATGATCTCACCTGGGATGGAGGGCGCGTGGAGCTGACAGAATCATCCCCCACAGGTGACAAGAAATCTCCGCCCATACCTTCAACACTCATGAAATGATTATAATAAGACCTGGGTGGGTCTGCCCTTCTCATGCATCCTCAGTTCTGCTCATTGTGAGGAGGTTCAATATGTGTCAAAGCAAATGTTGAAAGCCACTTTTGTATATTGTAACATCATTATTCACAGTAGTTCAAACTGATGTGTTACTGGAACTCAGACGTGTTGTGATATATCATATTATACTATTATTAAATGCTGGAAGATGTGAAAATAGTGGCATACCTCGGGTGTGTCTCTACGACCTAAACATAGAGTGTGCAGCCAACTGGCAAAGGCTGCGTGTGGTGTACAAGGCCACAACTTCGGAAAGCTTCCCCATTATTAAAACCGTTTGTTCAAAACACATGTATGAGGCTGTGGTGAATCTGGTATTTTAATCTAATGCCTGGAGAAATCGCTCAGGTCATTTCCGCTGGCAGAGATTTTAGAAAGTGACAAAATTATGGATTGAAAAACAGTGATTGCCGTATGGTATTTGCATCGGAAGACGCACACAGCAAGCTGCTCGAAACGTCGAGCCCCACCCTCTTATCAGAACCACACCTGCTCACAAAAGGAGGGTGATTACATGGTGTCACTGCAAACAACGTTTCTATTGCTATCTTCACCATGCAAACCTTCAATTCTTGTATAGCACGTGTGTTTACAAAGTGGAAGCTGTAATGAAAGCCCGATTTAGGTAGTTTAAATAGGGCTGTTTAAATAATCAGTATTGACGTCAATATCTGAGACCAAATTTACGACCTACTCTTTGGTCGCGAATATTTCCGTCAATAGTCACGACTAGCAAGCAAGGCGGAAATGTAGAGTTCACGCGCACGCGCAATGATCTACTTTTTCGGCGTGATTTCAAGTCGTTATTCGGCTAGGCAGTTTTGGCACAACGTAAGGGGCACAATGTTTGAAAGCAATAGCTGTGTCTATGGCTGTACAACTTCTCTCTGTACCTGGCTTGCTGGAGAAAAATTGCGGCAATATTTGCGACCTGAGATACAACGGGTCGTGAATTTGGTCGCAAATATTGGCGTCAATATTTGTGACTGAAGAGTGCGCCGTGCATGAATTTGGTCATAAATAACGGCGTCAATATTGACAATTTGTGATGTCCCCCCCCCACGGGCCACCATACTCTAGACGGTCAACCACTTTAGTAGATTTATTTTATTACAAAATGAATCTTCGCGCTTGCTACATCACCTTACGACGTTAAACAAACCTATAAAAAAGGAGAAGTAAAATGAGCTTTACGTCATGATTTATCTTTTCCTCTAAAACATATACGTACTGCCATCCAGGTCTCTTAAACACAATTTTAATTAGTACCGATTGCCAAGTGCAGGAGGATGTTGCTCCAGGATAGAAAATGCAAACCCGGATCTGTCGTGGGAAAGCCTTTTTTGCTGTTTCGTCGTCTTGAAAAATGCTATAATTTTGATGGATTTTAGATCCTGTACTCATTTTGAAAACATCTGCTCTTCTGCTTGTAGGATATTTCAGCACAATTCATTCCTTGGCACAAATAATGTACTTGGCCTCTTTTTTACTTTTGTCACAAATTTTACAAATTTAAGCTTGCCTTTCTCACAAAAGGTCGAATTCACAAAGCAGGGTGCCTTACACAGAAGTGAAAGTGAAACGATATTTTGACTCGTGGCTAAACAAACATGGATTTGGTTTTGCCTCCATACACTCGGTAAATGTCACACTGCTGTAAATAGCCGAGGCCAACAAGGGAAACAGCAGGCTCTATTCTGAGTTCAGTAGTTAAACGTTTTTATACTTTTTTATATAAACTGAACCTTAGAACCCTTCTTCTTGAAAACACAAGCAAATCATGTAGTTGTCACCGAAACGGACATTTGATCCTTTGAAAGTATTGCAATTCTTTCTGAATCAGCTCAGTTGTAAGCACACGGCTATGATGAAATTGTTACAATTCCATTTGAAATTGAATAAATTTGAATCAGAAAGCCATCAAACTGTAACCTACATCAGAATAATGACTGGATTGGGAATGTCTCCCCTCGGTAATTGCTCAGTTGCCACTGTTGTGATATCTATAAACGATCCATGTAGGGGGGCAAAGGGGGCCATACCGGTACCCTCCCACCCCCACCCCTAAAAAGGAGCAAAACATCTGTTTTGAAATATAAGGAAAATACAATTTGGGGGTCTAGTTCCTTTCCCTGCCTTCAAAAGTGTGTAATAAGCACCAAAGTGTAGCCTCAACAAAGTAACACAAAAATCTCTAGTTATTTCACAAGTTTTTCAGCCTCTGGGACTGAATTCTTTTGAGAAACATTTGTTTCATTAGAAGATATAAATATTGATGGCATCTGTATCGCTTTTAGCGGAATCTTAAGCGATTTGGGACTTAGTTCCAGTTTGAAATCCTCAGTAAGCATAATCCTAACAATTTATTTTCTTTCATATCATTGTAGTGTGCGTTGGGATATGTGATGACCCTCTTGGATTGGAAGATGGCAGCATTTCTGACTCAATGATTACTGCTTCAAGTACACTCAATATTCGAACAACTGATAATTGCCAACCTTACAACGCTCGACTAAACCACGTAGCAGCAGACAACGAGACCGTTGGTGGGTGGTGCCCATCGGATAGCGACAAAGAAAGGCCCTGGCTTCAAGTTGACCTACTGCACCAGGTGCAGATTGAAGGAGTGATCATACAAGGCAGCCCTGACCCCCTTAATACCCCTGATTGGGATGACTGGGTGACCGAGTATCAGGTCCAGTATTCTGACAGTCAGACTGACTGGACTTATGTGAGCGAACCATCTTCAACTACAGCTCAGGTAAAAAAACAAGAGACAAAACGCCAACACTTTCTCAACACTTTTAAGGAGTCACAAAGGGACAAATGTAGAAAAGGGGTCAGGTTCACGAGAACAATTTTGTAATATTTTCCCCATAATATCCACCCCGGTTCCTGCTCCATGTCGCCATGAAAAAGAGTAGGGTTTTTTTTTTAGTTTTTCTCTTTTTTTCAATTTTCCCAGTCGACTCCGTTTTTTCTTCCATTTTAGCATGTAATTTGGCAACTGCTCAGATGGTGAACATGCTTTCAGTTTCATTGTTTTAATTAGCTTTCTTCATTTGTCACGGAAATACAGGAACACTAAACAGAATACCACCTGCGTTTCCATGATATGAATGCACTACATGTATCGTCTACAATCCTTTTTTTTTTTTGGCAGACATTCCAAGGCAATACTGATCTCACTACACCAGTGAAAAGCTTGTTTAAGAAACCGATCTACGCACGGTATATCCGCATCAGACCAACGGCTTACCATGTCTGGCCCTCAATGCGAATTGAACTTATTGGATGTAGAGGTGAGTACACGTAACCAAATCCTGTAAGGGCAAACAGCTTGTCAGTATTGCTCACAGCTTCAAGTTTTAAGACCAAAAAACAGTGTCCGGTTCCTTGTCAGGGGCTGATGAATTCATGAATCTGCAATGCTATACATTGTCGAGGAGGCGCATTACTCCAAGGTAAATTCACTGATTATTCCTAGCTGTTGAAAACTGCTGCTCTTTTTAAAGGGAATGAAAACCTGTCATGCCTGTTTCCCACCCTGACCCCACGGATGTTGTTCGTTCATTATGCAATATAATTACTAGACCTTCACTGTGTAAACTACCGTTAAGACCAACTCCTTTGTATGGTTCCTAGATGCAAATGTGTAATACAGAAACGACGTCATCTGAAAAAGAGTGCCCAACGAAATGTATGGGTGCCTAGAAGGACTCCTCTAATTTACTGTACGTATTTCTCAACCGTACCCCCAAAACACGTTAAAATTACGCAGTGGCAGGAGTCTAGCCGATCAAGCAAGTTTGGCAGCTTGTGGATATCAAATACAAAAACTTTTTTTGTCTACGCACAGGCCTACGGTGGCATCTGCGATGACTAGAAACATTTTTTGCCCAAGGCTGCATTTGAATCTTTTGTCTAGAGTCTAGGTCTTAACTCCATTGGAAATACGCGGAGATGCAGCGACAATACACCTACCTGGAGCTCTGAAAGCCCGTGTCGGACACGACCTAAGTTCTCGTCATTTGATCATTTTCGAACATTTAACTTTGTGGGCTAAAAAAACCACCAACATGCCACAGTGTGCCATTCCGTGGACTTCACAGGTCTTTATCATTGGGAATTGCACCGAGGCCTTGGACGCATCTTTTGGGTAAATTGGTTCAGATAATCGCAGTAAACAAGGCTCATTTGTGCATTTTTTCAGCATCAATTTTCCAGATAACAGGTTGCTCAAGTAACATCAGTTGTTTAGCTGACGCCAAAAGCAGATTTATCTCAGTTTCGTGGCCTGCGTTGAACAGATCAGCTTCACATTTAGTATTGCAATACGCCAGCCATGAGCCTGGTGACTTGTTTCCTGTAGGGAACATCACCAAGGTAAAACACACAACGTTAAGCCAAGGAGGAAAGACGAGATCCTGCGATTTCTTTGTAACTGTGACTGGTGAGTATTTTACCTTTTGTTTTCAAATTCATTTCTAAATCACAAACTGAAGTTCCTGTAAAAACTGATCAACCTCAAGTGGCAATGAAATGTTCCCTCCCAAAACGAGCATTTTTAGGGTGGTTTGGAGTCAAGCAGTCGGCTATTGGTCCGCTGGTTGGCTAGCTAGCTCTTGCAGGCTTGCTTCAACGGCCCTGCCTGTTTACCTAGAGTTTCCGCACACACATTTGTTTATCAACTTTATGTACTGCTG